TACATTCGTAGTAGTCAACGGAGAGGACAGAGGATAGCTCAAATGTAAACACTACATTCGTAGTAGTCAACGGAGAGGACAGAGGATAGCTCAAATGTAAACACTACATTCGTAGTAGTCAACGGAGAGGACAGAGGATAGCTCAAATGTAAACACTACATTCGTAGTAGTCAACGGAGAGGACAGAGGATAGCTCAAATGTAAACACTACATTCGTAGTAGTCAACGGAGAGGACAGAGGATAGCTCAAATGTAAACACTACATTCGTAGTAGTCAACGGAGAGGACAGAGGATAGCTCAAATGTAAACACTACATTCGTAGTAGTCAACGGAGAGGACAGAGGATAGCTCAAATGTAAACACTACATTCGTAGTAGTCAACGGAGAGGACAGAGGATAGCTCAAATGTAAACACTACATTCGTAGTAGTCAACGGAGAGGACAGAGGATAGCTCAAATGTAAACACTACATTCGTAGTAGTCAACGGAGAGGACAGAGGATAGCTCAAATGTAAACACTACATTCGTAGTAGTCAACGGAGAGGACAGAGGATAGCTCAAATGTAAACACTACATTCGTAGTAGTCAACGGAGAGGACAGAGGATAGCTCAAATGTAAACACTACATTCGTAGTAGTCAACGGAGAGGACAGAGGATAGCTCAAATGTAAACACTACATTCGTAGTAGTCAACGGAGAGGACAGAGGATAGCTCAAATGTAAACACTACATTCGTAGTAGTCAACGGAGAGGACAGAGGATAGCTCAAATGTAAACACTACATTCGTAGTAGTCAACGGAGAGGACAGAGGATAGCTCAAATGTAAACACTACATTCGTAGTAGTCAACGGAGAGGACAGAGGATAGCTCAAATGTAAACACTACATTCGTAGTAGTCAACGGAGAGGACAGAGGATAGCTCAAATGTAAACACTACATTCGTAGTAGTCAACGGAGAGGACAGAGGATAGCTCAAATGTAAACACTACATTCGTAGTAGTCAACGGAGAGGACAGAGGATAGCTCAAATGTAAACACTACATTCGTAGTAGTCAACGGAGAGGACAGAGGATAGCTCAAATGTAAACACTACATTCGTAGTAGTCAACGGAGAGGACAGAGGATAGCTCAAATGTAAACACTACATTCGTAGTAGTCAACGGAGAGGACAGAGGATAGCTCAAATGTAAACACTACATTCGTAGTAGTCAACGGAGAGGACAGAGGATAGCTCAAATGTAAACACTACATTCGTAGTAGTCAACGGAGAGGACAGAGGATAGCTCAAATGTAAACACTACATTCGTAGTAGTCAACGGAGAGGACAGAGGATAGCTCAAATGTAAACACTACATTCGTAGTAGTCAACGGAGAGGACAGAGGATAGCTCAAATGTAAACACTACATTCGTAGTAGTCAACGGAGAGGACAGAGGATAGCTCAAATGTAAACACTACATTCGTAGTAGTCAACGGAGAGGACAGAGGATAGCTCAAATGTAAACACTACATTCGTAGTAGTCAACGGAGAGGACAGAGGATAGCTCAAATGTAAACACTACATTCGTAGTAGTCAACGGAGAGGACAGAGGATAGCTCAAATGTAAACACTACATTCGTAGTAGTCAACGGAGAGGACAGAGGATAGCTCAAATGTAAACACTACATTCGTAGTAGTCAACGGAGAGGACAGAGGATAGCTCAAATGTAAACACTACATTCGTAGTAGTCAACGGAGAGGACAGAGGATAGCTCAAATGTAAACACTACATTCGTAGTAGTCAACGGAGAGGACAGAGGATAGCTCAAATGTAAACACTACATTCGTAGTAGTCAACGGAGAGGACAGAGGATAGCTCAAATGTAAACACTACATTCGTAGTAGTCAACGGAGAGGACAGAGGATAGCTCAAATGTAAACACTACATTCGTAGTAGTCAACGGAGAGGACAGAGGATAGCTCAAATGTAAACACTACATTCGTAGTAGTCAACGGAGAGGACAGAGGATAGCTCAAATGTAAACACTACATTCGTAGTAGTCAACGGAGAGGACAGAGGATAGCTCAAATGTAAACACTACATTCGTAGTAGTCAACGGAGAGGACAGAGGATAGCTCAAATGTAAACACTACATTCGTAGTAGTCAACGGAGAGGACAGAGGATAGCTCAAATGTAAACACTACATTCGTAGTAGTCAACGGAGAGGACAGAGGATAGCTCAAATGTAAACACTACATTCGTAGTAGTCAACGGAGAGGACAGAGGATAGCTCAAATGTAAACACTACATTCGTAGTAGTCAACGGAGAGGACAGAGGATAGCTCAAATGTAAACACTACATTCGTAGTAGTCAACGGAGAGGACAGAGGATAGCTCAAATGTAAACACTACATTCGTAGTAGTCAACGGAGAGGACAGAGGATAGCTCAAATGTAAACACTACATTCGTAGTAGTCAACGGAGAGGACAGAGGATAGCTCAAATGTAAACACTACATTCGTAGTAGTCAACGGAGAGGACAGAGGATAGCTCAAATGTAAACACTACATTCGTAGTAGTCAACGGAGAGGACAGAGGATAGCTCAAATGTAAACACTACATTCGTAGTAGTCAACGGAGAGGACAGAGGATAGCTCAAATGTAAACACTACATTCGTAGTAGTCAACGGAGAGGACAGAGGATAGCTCAAATGTAAACACTACATTCGTAGTAGTCAACGGAGAGGACAGAGGATAGCTCAAATGTAAACACTACATTCGTAGTAGTCAACGGAGAGGACAGAGGATAGCTCAAATGTAAACACTACATTCGTAGTAGTCAACGGAGAGGACAGAGGATAGCTCAAATGTAAACACTACATTCGTAGTAGTCAACGGAGAGGACAGAGGATAGCTCAAATGTAAACACTACATTCGTAGTAGTCAACGGAGAGGACAGAGGATAGCTCAAATGTAAACACTACATTCGTAGTAGTCAACGGAGAGGACAGAGGATAGCTCAAATGTAAACACTACATTCGTAGTAGTCAACGGAGAGGACAGAGGATAGCTCAAATGTAAACACTACATTCGTAGTAGTCAACGGAGAGGACAGAGGATAGCTCAAATGTAAACACTACATTCGTAGTAGTCAACGGAGAGGACAGAGGATAGCTCAAATGTAAACACTACATTCGTAGTAGTCAACGGAGAGGACAGAGGATAGCTCAAATGTAAACACTACATTCGTAGTAGTCAACGGAGAGGACAGAGGATAGCTCAAATGTAAACACTACATTCGTAGTAGTCAACGGAGAGGACAGAGGATAGCTCAAATGTAAACACTACATTCGTAGTAGTCAACGGAGAGGACAGAGGATAGCTCAAATGTAAACACTACATTCGTAGTAGTCAACGGAGAGGACAGAGGATAGCTCAAATGTAAACACTACATTCGTAGTAGTCAACGGAGAGGACAGAGGATAGCTCAAATGTAAACACTACATTCGTAGTAGTCAACGGAGAGGACAGAGGATAGCTCAAATGTAAACACTACATTCGTAGTAGTCAACGGAGAGGACAGAGGATAGCTCAAATGTAAACACTACATTCGTAGTAGTCAACGGAGAGGACAGAGGATAGCTCAAATGTAAACACTACATTCGTAGTAGTCAACGGAGAGGACAGAGGATAGCTCAAATGTAAACACTACATTCGTAGTAGTCAACGGAGAGGACAGAGGATAGCTCAAATGTAAACACTACATTCGTAGTAGTCAACGGAGAGGACAGAGGATAGCTCAAATGTAAACACTACATTCGTAGTAGTCAACGGAGAGGACAGAGGATAGCTCAAATGTAAACACTACATTCGTAGTAGTCAACGGAGAGGACAGAGGATAGCTCAAATGTAAACACTACATTCGTAGTAGTCAACGGAGAGGACAGAGGATAGCTCAAATGTAAACACTACATTCGTAGTAGTCAACGGAGAGGACAGAGGATAGCTCAAATGTAAACACTACATTCGTAGTAGTCAACGGAGAGGACAGAGGATAGCTCAAATGTAAACACTACATTCGTAGTAGTCAACGGAGAGGACAGAGGATAGCTCAAATGTAAACACTACATTCGTAGTAGTCAACGGAGAGGACAGAGGATAGCTCAAATGTAAACACTACATTCGTAGTAGTCAACGGAGAGGACAGAGGATAGCTCAAATGTAAACACTACATTCGTAGTAGTCAACGGAGAGGACAGAGGATAGCTCAAATGTAAACACTACATTCGTAGTAGTCAACGGAGAGGACAGAGGATAGCTCAAATGTAAACACTACATTCGTAGTAGTCAACGGAGAGGACAGAGGATAGCTCAAATGTAAACACTACATTCGTAGTAGTCAACGGAGAGGACAGAGGATAGCTCAAATGTAAACACTACATTCGTAGTAGTCAACGGAGAGGACAGAGGATAGCTCAAATGTAAACACTACATTCGTAGTAGTCAACGGAGAGGACAGAGGATAGCTCAAATGTAAACACTACATTCGTAGTAGTCAACGGAGAGGACAGAGGATAGCTCAAATGTAAACACTACATTCGTAGTAGTCAACGGAGAGGACAGAGGATAGCTCAAATGTAAACACTACATTCGTAGTAGTCAACGGAGAGGACAGAGGATAGCTCAAATGTAAACACTACATTCGTAGTAGTCAACGGAGAGGACAGAGGATAGCTCAAATGTAAACACTACATTCGTAGTAGTCAACGGAGAGGACAGAGGATAGCTCAAATGTAAACACGAGATCTCCTACGTACTTGTCTAGTTGTACATGTCCTCGGGAACCTCGTCGTAAAACTTTGTCTTCTTACACAAAAGTAAAAAGTCAGAGTAGACACTTTGTAAAAACAGCTTGTAGGTGTCCAAAGCTTTTTTAGAGTACTTCTGTGGAACCTCCTGGTCAAACTTTGTACGCCATAATCAGAGTCTTCCCCAGGCCTGGGCTTGACCTTTATTTTGTTAGGATCGTTACTGCTGATGTCCTCTTCTTCAGAGTCGGTGTCCTCTTCTTTTCTTGACTTCCCTCCCACCGTAGCAGCTCCGGCGTCACTCTTCTTGCCATTTTTCCTATGGAGTTGGACGTGATGAGGTGTAGTGGATGTGGGAGATGGAGTTGGACCCGACTGCCAGATTCAGATTCAGATGGGGCCCTGCCTCACCCGTGCGCATTCAGCACCATAGTTCTACCTAGAAACTCTAGCAAACTACAACCTTCACTATCTTGATGATGACTCGAATCTACTCGGCAATCTGCCTAAGATTTCCCTGGCGAATTCTCCCCGCTGGCCTAGCTCGTTGTTGGATTGTTAGTGGTTTCTCGACTGTTTCTTCACTATCTTAATAAGTAACTTATAATCATGTATTGTGTAGTAATTAGGTTGTATTAGTTGCATGGGATAAGCCTAAGAGTGTGGAGGTGAAAACTAACCGGTTGTTAGTAGTAATTAGGTTGTATTAGTAGTAATTAGGTTGTATTAGTACGTACTCTTCAGCAAGTACAGTATATAATTATCAGATTTTAGACCTAATGGTGCTGATTTTTCCTTTCTTGTTTTCGGTGTCTCTTCGTACTTCATATAACTCAACTCGACGCTCTCCACCTCGGTCAGCCTTCGACGAAATAATTCTTATGCAGCGAAACGAAATAAATCACGCAAGGGGGAACATCACAAGCACAATAATGTTGGTGGTGCATACCTAACTAGAAAAAACAAAAACCGAAAAAAGAAAGGTCAGGAAACATCAAGTACAATTTAATCACAAGTAGTACCCTTTTCTTTCTTCATTCACGCCTGGTGCATCATCTACCGGGTCATCGCCTCCACAACAACACGCCATGTCTTAGTCTCCGCCCACGTCATTTAGCATCAACATAGCAGAGATGTTTGAGTGAGATGTTACTGCTATTTTGGACGTTCCCGCACGAAGAAGTTTTTTCAGGTGGAGCAGAGATCCTTTGCGTAGCAGAGATGTTTCTTGAGATATTTGACACGTTTCAGAAGATGTCGATGTATCTTCTAGTTGTGATCTCCCTTGTGCTAGTCCGTATCCTTAGGAGTACTAAACAAACTACTTTGTTGTAGTTGTTGTTGGAGTTTTAGACTTTTTTCAGAGTCCTCCTTGTCAGAGTCCACGACAGAGCGTACTTGTTATTTTTACTTGAGCAAGTAGTACAAACTGCAACTGCAAAGTAGAGGGTTTCACAAACTGCAACTGCAAAGTAGAGGGTTTCACAAACTGCAACTGCAAAGTAGAGGGTTTCACAAA